CAAAATTATAATGTTATATGTTGTATAATCTTGATTTTACAAGATTAGGCATAATATATTTTATGATTTCTTTTCCCTGCAACCATTTTTATATTTTATTATTCTGTGAGATTCTTATGTATCAGAACCATATATTTATATGTGTATATATATATATATGTAGTATGATGGGAAAAGAGAGAGAAATGTATTTTTAATACTTTTTAAAGTTCTTTAATAATGAATCTGAATAATTAATTAACTTAAATAATTTGCATAATTAATTTACTTTTAATATTACTGCATAATATTTTAACATAGAAGAAAAGACAAAAGAAAAAGATTAATTAATTAGTTAATTATGAATATATAATTTGGGATTAACTAATATTTATGTGCTCCTTATAATTAAAAATAAATTAAACTTAATATATAATTAATTAAACTATATATGGGTGTAATATATATGTTGGGTAAAAGCTAGCATAGAGTATATATACATATATATATATATAGTAGTAAAAATGTAATAATAATATTAGAAAGAAAAAGAAAAACAGAGTTTTGGAATAAAATAAATTAAACTATATATGGGTGTATTATATATGTGGGGTAAAAGCTAGTATAGAGTACATATACATATATATATATATAGTAGTAAAAATGTAATAATAATATTAAAAAGAAAAAGAAAAACAGAGTTGTGGAATAAAATAAATTAAACTTAATATATAATTAATTAAACTATATATGGGTGTATTATATATGTTGGGTAAAAGCTAGTATAGAGGATATCTACATACATATATATATAGAGTAGTAAAAATGTAATAATAATATTAAAAAGAAAAAGAAAAAACAGAGTTTTGGAATAAAATAAATTAAACTTCATATAGAATTAATTAAACTATATATGGGTGTATTATATATGTGGGGTAAAAGCTAGTATAGAGAATAGATAGATAGATAGATAGATATATGTATATATATATATATGTATATAATATAGTAAAGAAATAGAGAATTTTTGGGCTGGCAGTGATTGGGATGGATGCACATTATAGTGTTTCTCCCTAAAACAATGAAAACTTAGCTTCTGAACTTCTTGAAATTTGTGATCACATCCACCACCACCACCACCATTTATTCTTGTGGACCCTTTAATTCTATCTCTCTCTTCTCTCTCTCTCTCTCTCTATATATATATATATAATATATATTATAATACATAGTTAAATAATTATTATGTTTGTAGTTCAAAAAAATTAATGATAAATGATGGGTAGAGATTTGTTCTGATAATTTCCATGAAGTAATTAATACTTAGTTTTATTATACATAACTAATGAATGAATTAAGTAATATATAGAAAAGAGGGTAAATAATGTATGTATGTATGTATGTATGTACATATATATATATATATATGTGTGTGTATTGATGTGTAGAACTTAAAAGAAGAAAAACAAAAACTAAAGCAATTAGAAAAGGAAAAAGTAAGAAGGGGTATGGAGAATTACTAGAAGAAGAGACAACAGAGATAAAAACAAAGTAAGTAAAGATTTTTATAAAGTGATCTCTAAATGTGGTGCTGTTCACTGTGAGGAATATATAAAGGCAATACCTCTATCATAATAAAGAATAAAGTGATTTCCCACAAATATTAATTAACCCACTTCATATATACATACATATATACATATATATATATATATATATACACACATACCCATTTACTGTATATGTCAATAGTTTAATTTCTGAACTCCTATTCATAATTATATAGATATAATATTCATGGGTCACTTTCTTTAAAACTCAAAACCATGTATTAAATTTTTTCTTTAAAACACATATAGACATATATACATACATATAGAGATATATATATGTATATATATATATATATGCATAGAGATTCTTTTATGTGTTTTAAAAAAATTCACTCTTTGGGTGTGATCTCTATCCACCCTAGGAGGTAATATTAATTAGATAGCTTGCACAATAATTCATAAATTCTTGTACATGTTAATCTTTTTATATTTATTATACCACATGAATACTGTTTTTTGTCTCAAGAATTTTTCTCATCACTCATATATATATATATATATATATATGCACACACATGCATATATGTATATACATATATATGTATTAACTCCTAAGGAACTATCAATTTGTGGTGTGTGCATGTGATTTGTGAATGTTCAACTAAGAGACCAATCATTTCTTTAAAAAAATTTGAAGTAAAAAGAACTTTAATATACAATATTATAATTGGGGTTGTATTATATATATATATATATATATATATATATATAAAACAAAATTTGTTTACACAGTAATAAGCATGCAAATCATGAATGTTACATAACTAATACACAGTAAACACCGGTATATATCTATATATATATGTGTGTGTGTGTGTGTGTGTGTATAGTTAGTCAATATATTCTCAAAGACATGGTTTATTAATTTCTTTCATTCTCTCTCTAACCAGTCATGTGATGAACCTGAAATGAAATTGATGAATCAATTGCAGTAATTGGTTTTCCAAGGGAAACATCATTGTCATACTAGTAATCCTCTTGATGATACACTGGTCTATACATTCATACATACATATATATACATATATATATATATAGAGAGAGAGAGAGAGAGGGAGGCAAGTAAATAATGAAGGGTGTTTCCTGGGGAAAACATGATTAAGATTTCCATCCTCAGCAAGTCTGGGAAGTGAAGCAAGAACCCACTCCCTAGATTTCCATTCTCAGCTAATGATCCCATTCTTATATATCAATCTTTCTGTATATGATCAATCAATCAACCCATGCTTTACAAACAAATATTTAATGATGACATTATATATATATATATACACACACACACACACACATACACACACACACACACAGACAGACAGAGATAAATACAAACATTGACATTGATTATTAGGTTATATTAAAATGAACTTTCTTTCTGACTTGCAGAGACAAAATCTCCAAAATAAATATGTAATTTAAACTTGTCGAGAATAATAAATTTAATTCACATGAATGGCATGACGAGTACCTCTTTCTATTATTATTATATGATGATGATCTTGAACAACTATAAACAATCAAAGGGTAGATTTACAGGTACTTATAATTAAGTTGAATTTATGAAGATTAGATGACGAAGTACTTACAGTTAAAAGAAAAAAAAAAAGAAACAAGTCAAAAATTACTATGGAAGACAAAAAAAAAAAAAAAAGAGAGAGAGAAAAGAAAAGCACTTTTAAGAGAGAGTATGTCAGTCAAGTCAAGTAATTATGTGCAAAGATGTCTACCCAATTGTATATATATATATAATATATAATATATATGTGTGTGTGTGTGTGTGTAGATGTAGATTGAGCTTTTGGGGCCTTAATGAAATAATATTACTTTATATATTTTTCCCAAACAAACATTTGTTTTCATAAATTTTCCTGCCTTCTTTTCTCTCTCTCTCTCTCTCCCCACTCTGTCTGACACACATATAGATACAGTGGTGTGTATAGATGGCGTAAACTAGATGGCTGATAGTGCAAGCAAAGCAAACGACTTTTTTTTTAAGCTTCATCTCCATCTCTAAAAACTTACTGTTTCCCTCTTTTGTCTGTTGAAAAACAAAACAAATCTTGTTTCTCTTGTCTCACCACTTGTATAATAAGCTATAAGCTATAAGCTATAAGCTGTTTCTTAATACTAAGTTATATACTTCACTCCCAAAAACCCACCTCCAAAAACTCTCTCCATTTTCTTTCTCTTAAAATTTCTCTTGTTAATTTATAAAACCCAAAACTCTACTTACGACTAATTCTCTTCTTTCTTCCTTCCTTGTTTCTTCATTTCCATTTTTGGTGGAGCTACCTGCATGCATCATCTTGTTTAATTTAATTGCTGCTTCTTTCTCTTGTCGCCCTTATCACTGTCAGTCAAACTTCAGGAGGTTTTTGTTGGTTTTTTTTTTCCTTTTCATCATCAAACTTTCATCATTAGAAGCTAATTGAACCAGAAGATCAAGACTATCAAGAAGAAGAAGTAACTAAAGAAGAAGAAGAAGGTTTGGTTTTTTATTAGGGTTTGATTTGGATTTTGTTTTCCAAATCAAAAGAAAACAAATTTAGAAGTAATTAATAATTAGGGATAGATCAAAAATGGAGCTTTCAAGTCAAGAAGGAGAAATGCCAATGCCAATAAACACAACATACAGCCATGGTGCCCACATCATCCATCATCATCATAATGATCATCATCACATGCCCAACAATGGCTCCCCTTCCTCCTTACAAATCGACCATTACAACAGCAACAACAACAACATCAAGACAAATTCGAAGCAGGTGATGGTAATCAAGTATAAAGAATGTCTCAAGAACCATGCAGCCGCCATGGGAGGTAATGCCACAGATGGGTGTGGTGAGTTCATGCCCAGTGGAGAAGAAGGCACCATTGAAGCTCTCAACTGCTCAGTCTGCAACTGCCACAGAAATTTTCACAGAAAAGAAATGCAAGGTGGTGGTGATTCTTATCTCAACAGGAAAATCATCTTAGGCCACCACCATAAGAGTCTTCTACCCTCTGAAACTTTAGGGTATCCTACAGGAACTCTTATCTCCTCTAGACCTCACCAGATGATCATGTCTTACAACATGGGAGGATCTTTTACTAATCCTTCTGATCAATCTGATCATGAACAAGATCAAGATGGTGGGATTTTGGTGGGAAGAGCAGCGAGCCATCATCATCATCATCATCAGATGGTGAAGAAAAGGTTTAGAACAAAGTTTACCCAAGAACAGAAGGAGAAGATGCTGAATTTTGCAGAGAAAGTTGGCTGGAAAATTCAGAAGCAAGAAGAAGGAGTTGTTCAACAGTTTTGTCAAGAGATTGGAGTCAAGAGAAGAGTTCTTAAGGTTTGGATGCATAACAACAAGCATAATCTTGCTAAGAAAAACTCTTCTGAAACACCCATTGATCCTGCCACCACCACTACTCCTCCTACTTCATAATATAAACAAATATATATATATATAATATAAATTATCCTCATCATGATCTCTATCTCTCTTAATCATAATATTATTAGTATTAGCCTTGTGTTTTAACCATCCTTAATCAATCAATATTTAGGAAATTAAGGTATTAATTAATCAAGTCTTGATCTTTGATCATCACTTCTTTTTCTTTGTTTCTTTTCTTTTCCTTCTTTTTGGTATTATTTATTATCCCATCATATATATATATATATATATATTCATATTCTTACTCGTTAACTATTAACTGGGTGTTTGTTGTTTCTTGGAGTTATCTACTTACATGTTCTGTAATGAAAACATATTGTGATTTACTGTAGTCAGATTTTTTAGTTGAGTTTGGTAGATATATAATTTTATGAGGGATTCCATGAATCTATCCATTTTGCTTTGGAAATATTAATTATTAAGAAAATGTATGCACTCAGAGCTAGCTAGCTCATTTAATTGATTGTCTCTGGTTATTATCCCACAATATTATTCCTTAATTTTGGACGTCATATGCATACATATATATACATATATATACATATATATATACATATAAGTACGCTCTGTAAATTTAAAGGCTGCAGATGCTGTGTTGATCAAGTATTAGTATACTGCATGTATGTAATGTAAGTGTACTGCTTGATGTGTCCTCTATAAAAATTTTTAGCTTTTGGAAGTTAGTACAATCTACATCCACTCTTATTTGTTTAATTCATTCTGAAGTTTCTTCATCTGATCTTTTAAAAGAACATTTAAGTTATATATATATGTATATTATATATATATATATATATATATATTATATATGTATATGTGTATTAGTGTATGATTTTTGAACTTAATTTTTTCTTTCTCCACAAAGTTTGGATGATCTTAATTAATTTTAATTTTAGACAGGTTTAGTACTCCTAATTTATTACTTTAGTAGTGACCATACATATAGCTCACAAGTAGCTAGGTGGCTACATACATATATATATATATATACATATATATATAGGGTATATATGATCATCTTACCATATAATTAATATAATCATTTGACCCATGAACATTCTTTTTATTTTAGATTCGGATAAAGGAGTAAGAATGTTGTAAGAGTTTCATATTCTCCTTTAAAAATGTTTTTGAATCTTTCCGATAATATAAAACTCGTTATAGTTATAATATTTTACAGTAGTAATTAAATTATAATATTTAATTCAATAAAATTAAAATTTAACTTATTAACATATTAGTAGTCGTTAAATCTTATGAAAACATAAGAATTAATAGAATTTAGAGAAACATAAAAACGTAAAGAAATACGAGAATACATTCGAGAAGAGATTTAACTTTCTGAATATTCGTTGATTAATGATCTCGATCTCGATATTCATACACAGAGAAAGACAGAACTTTCAGTATTTACGAAATAAAATCGGATTGTTATAGAATTACAGTACTTGTTAGTTTTTATTGAACACCTAATATTATAAAGATTACCTACCATATTACATACAGTTTCCACCTGCTCCACTTTGCAACCTACTCAATTTCCAACTACAGTTTCCAACCATGAAAAAGAATTTCATTCATGTAAGTAAAGAAACCCATTACATATATATATATATATACACATATATGTATATATATATGTATGTATATACTCTTTTTTTTTTTCTTATTATATGTTAAATTAATTAAAGGGTAAATTATCATATTCATTCTCAAAATTTGATACTTATTACAATATGATAATTAACATTTCTATGGTTGCAAGTTTATTCGTAATGGTTTCTACTTATTATTTTTTTTTTTTAAATGTTTAATTTTTATCTATTTTTTTATTAAAAAATATTTACGTATTTTACAAAATAATTAATGTAATTAACAAAAATTAATTTCTCTTTTTGTTGCTGTTAATTTAATTAATTAATTAGTGATTTTTCTTGAGTTGCTCTTTAAAAATGCTTAAATTATTATGGCCTAAAAATTTTTTTTAAAAAAATTCAAACATTAAAATAAATAAAAATATTAAATATTAAATTATAACAAATTCACACATAACTAATTAATTTTTAGTCATTAGAAAATGTGAAAACACAAATTTATATTATAATTGGCAAACTATTTACGTATAAATTTTTGTAAACCACAAGTATGTAAATTAATATATATGTATATATATATATGTATGTATGTATGTATGTATGTATGTGTGTGTATATATATGTATATGTAAAAGGGCAAAAGGGCCATATAGCATTTAAGAGGGGTTAATAATCTGAATCATATTTAATGTCTGCCATGCAAATCATCTCCCTGCCATTTTTTTTTCATTTCTCCCAACATATTTAAATTTTTGCTTTCGGTATTTATTTATTTTCAAAATATTAATTTTATATTTTAAAAAAAAAGAATAAAGCCTATTTCCTTGAATTTTAAGAATACAATCTTAACATATCACAATATATAAAATTCCTCAGTACTTAATAATAAAAAAGATAATTAGAATTCTCTACGTCAAATTCTAATTACAATCCAAAATACTTAATTAATATTTATAAAAAAATATCTAGTAAATTACGAGTTCAGTATATTATATTTATTAGAAAGAAAGTTTTTTATTTTTTTTTTACTCGTTCACGAATTTCGTGTGAAGCTAATAAGTTTTATTTTTTTTTATCTCAAACAAAAAGAAGAAGAAAAAAAAAAAAAAAAAAAAAAACCCTCTTTATATTGAAGATTTATATGGAGGTGGTCAATATATATATATATATTTAATAAGGGTAGTAAATAAAATTGAAAATTAAAGAGAGAGAGATATATACACACATACACATATATATATATATATGTATGTATGTATGCACGTATACTAATTTGAAATGTAATAACGATATTCAAAAAGTGGAAATTAATTCATATAATTCTGAATTATGAAGACCGACCACAGGCTGCATCGTCTGCGACAGGACTTTGCTCAGAAGATGGGGCCCATGCTATTGACAAGCATCTATCTGTCATGAATTTTGACAATTTTATCTTTTTTTAAAAAAAAAAAAAAAGAATTTCGTCCCTATTTTCATTAAATTTTTTAAAATTTAAAATTTCAAGCAAAGAAATTTAATTATTCATCTGAAGATTCAAAAAAAAAAAAACACAAAAAAGATATCTACGTGCAATCATTATCAGATCATTACATAATATTCAAATCACAACAACAATAATTAGAGTTTCACTACGACTGATACGGGTGGATAGAATGTACATGAATCCACACAAATGTATGTACGTACCTACGTATAGATACAGAGAAACTTCAATTGTAATACAACCACTGTAAAGTTCCCAATTGAAACGAGAAGTGAAAAACACAAAACAGTTATCGATTGAGTTGACAAAATGAGAATTAAGTCTAGGATTTTCACACCACGAGAATTTTCTTATTGCAAAACTCTAGAGAAAAAGTTGTGAGCAACTTCCAAAAAGTTATCTATTGATTCGAATGTTGGCACAGTGGGATGAATATAAAGAGAGAGAGAGAGAGAGAGAGAAGAAAAAAGAGGCCGAAAATTTTACATAATGCTTTCGATCGAATAATCGACGAGAAAATAAGTCGGATTTTATACGAGCAATCATATTGGAAGCGAGAAGATAACATACAAAGAAATTGAAAAAGAAAAAAGAAATAATCAATGTGAAGTTGCTGGTTTAGGCTTTCATCACTTGTGGGTAGGAATAACTCAAATTATGAATTGAGGTTGGAAGATTTGAGAGTAAAAGACTAGAGGATTTTCGCTGTTCATCCTTCCTGTTTACACTATTACTACACAATGTTTTATCATTCCATATCAGCAACTCACACAGCGTCACAGTTCAAGAGGGAAGAAAATATAAAGTGGGGTCTTAATAATAATTAAAATACACACAGGTAGGTATTCGGTGACTAAAATGGTATAATATATATATATATATATATATTTTTGTTTCATCAAAAGAAAAAAGAAAAGATTTACAGTGAAAAAAAAAAAAACATTACTTTAATGCTAACCCAAATCACTAAAACTTCACCGTTAAATGTAACAAATAAGTACCAAATAAATTTACTGTTGTACTTAAACACACACTTCTGGTATATAACAAATCCTACTTTAGATTTTTTCCCCGGTAAAGAAAAGTGGACGAACACACAGAACGGGACAAAACACAAAGTGAAGTAAATGTTCAAAAAATACTCAAAAAAGCCTCTAGAAGTATTTCAATTCATTTCCAATATGCGTCTGGCAATCAATGTCAGACATAGCCTCTTCTAGTGGCAGAGCTAGCAAGAAACAAAGAAATCAAATTTATGAAATTGAATCTGTAAAGACACTTAAATGCACTCGCTATAGTATGTATACGGGTAGTAACTCCTGTATGCATAAAAGGCTGGCACACGTGCACTGCACACACTTGTTTATACAACACACTCAAATATATGGCACAAATTTACTTGAAGAAAAAGAAAAAGGCTGCAAAGCTAGCAAGACCAGATGTGATTGAAGTCAATAAAGTAGTCTAAAGTACTTATAGAGTAATATACCCTAAAGCCTAGTAATGTTCCCTCCCCGAGCTTGGAGTTACTACTGTGCATATACATATCTCAGCGAGTCATACATAGCTCGTGTTTATACGAGAAAAGTATTCTAGATACAGCTCCAAAAGACAGAATGTAGTCGAATGGTGTGATTCAATTCTGGAATTCTAAGCTCTAAAGCCAAGTTTTCACTCGCTATAAAATACTTCCAACCGCAACAATCGAAAATGGATTATCATTGATATTAAATTCGGATTTTGGTGGAATCTATATATATATTACAGAGGGGAAGCATACCTACCTCCCTACAGCAAAATCAACAACCCAAAAGAAAAAGGTGGGGAAGCACCCCACCAGGAGGAGAAAATAATTAAATACAAAAACTGGAAGAACACTACTTTCCACAAAGCATGTGTGTGTATATATATGTATATTGAAAAGGAAAAAAACAGGTGGAGGAGGTGTGCACTGAAATTATGTTGCACTATGCAACTCCATGGGCTGTCCTGCTTTATTCGTGTAACTCAAGAATGTGGAATTGCTATGATGAAATACATCGGCAAAGAGTTTTATCAGGTGTGTAAGGCAGAGAACTGACCGGCTTGACAAGGCCCATGGTTCCCATGGTCTTGTTTGAATAATTTGAACCTCGTTGTTATGTATATACTTTCAAGCCTTTTCAATTATGCACTCCGAGTACTGGCCAGTCAGACAGCCTTTTACAAATGTAAATGCCTCATATGTTGCATTGTTTCACCAGTTAATACAGCCGAGCTCTGCCGGGATTTAGAAGTGATTCTGACATTCTCCAACCCTACAAAATTAGTTGGTTGTGCTTTATTAACAAAGCTGCCGTAATCCAATGTTGCATTTTGCACCATAGCATGAAACCAAAATCAAGTTCAGTACAATACCAGCAAACGAACAAAAAAAGTTACAGCTACAGGAGAATACCTTACCAAAACACTGGGACTCCCTAGAAAAGCACCTTTAGGTGGTTCTAAGAACAAGTTCAATCCAATATAGCCATTGATGAAATTAAAACGGTAGACTAACAAGGGAAATAGTTATTACATGGGTTCCACCAAGGTAAATTAGAAGTTCTATTTGAGGGCTTCTTATTCATTTGAAGGTCTAACATGACTATTCATCTGATTCTCTTCCATATTATAACCAAGAAATGGCTGGGGTCTGTAACATCTAATGGACTTGAAATGGAACCAGGTTCCAATGGATTACCGTGTAATAATGCAGCCAAGAGAGAAAACACCCATCTCATTTTATTTAGAGTTACATGAGATATTCTATTTGTGGGTTTTAAGCGCAATTTTTAAATTTGTTAATTTTGGCAATTAAGCAAAAATATTCTAGAGGTTTAGGATTACGGTATGTACAAGAGCTGCATGTACATGCCACTAACTGAATTTTCACATCTGAGTTGCCGATCCAGTTTCTGTTACGGTAAAGAGCTACCCTCTTACCACTAGATTGAATAACAGGCTTTCTGAAAGGATCTCCTAGAATCTCCTGTATGCAAGTTTATTTAGTATTTTATAAATATGCACATATATTAAACTACATTAAGAACAGATGAGCTTTATTTGTAAGATTCATTTGAAAACCCACACTTGGTTTAACTATGAAATGATGAAAATCCCTTGCAAAATGATGAGAATTAACCTCCTAAAAAAATTTTAAGTGGAATTAAAACCAGACATCTTTAAATTCCATCAAATTGAATTCCATTAATGAATCTGTTCGTTTCAAACATAGGCTTACATCTAAAATAAGTTGATTTGTTATTTATAAAAAAAAAAAACAGATTAGGATCAGGTATCTTCACTTTCCTCCTCCCTCCCTAAGTTCCTCCAGCCCTATTTTTCTCTTTCCTTCATTTCTCAGTACACTTTTCTTTGTGCTACATAACATCCAATATGACCCTCAAAATTACCACTAATCTTTTTGTTGTTCCGGACAACCGGATAAAGAAAAATGGAACAAACCAGAACCAGAAGATGTGAAAGGGAAATTGCAACAAGTGCAAGCTCTGAAACAAGCTCGTTTTGAGCATTTCCTTAGAACAGACATTGCCAACTTTTCCAATAAACAACTTATAATCATAGAGCCAAAAAATATCATAAAAAGAATTCACAGTCAAAAAGTGTCTTGTAATTAGCCACTTCCATCATCCGCTCAGACTTTTAGAAAGGGAAAAGACCCAAAAAAAGAACAAACTAGAAGCCAAAGTGTAGACTGCTGTTTAGGATAGTGCGTGAATAGGTTGTTAATGTAAAAAAGTGTAGGACACCTAGAAAAATCGATAGAAACCATTTTTCTAACTTATGGAGTCGTCAGCTTAGCAAGAGCATCTAGAAGTACAGCAAGAAGTACTTTTTTAAGGAATGCAATAAATTACTTGCCTGTTCTGCAGCTTCACTCTTAAAAGGCCCATATGAGCTTGAGACTGTCCTACATGACTCGGCAATATTGGATGCGAGATTGAATGTTGTAGACACACAATCTGAGTTATTATAATCTTCCTGCTTCCAGGCTAAGGACCTACTACTGTTTGATGAATGAATCAAATTCAACAACACATGTGCCTGTAACATGTGATGAGAGATACGTTAAAACCAGTGAAAGGGAAACACTTCTTAACTAAAGCAAACATGCATGTAATTCATGTAAGCCATTATCTCACATGAAACGCTGCTTTTAGAATGTCGTCGGACTTTGCCTGATCCTTGAGCAACGCATATACTTTGCCCTTGGAAGGATTGTATGTCACCATATATCTCTCTTTCTGCCATCAATCAATAGGATAAATCAAATACCACTGCAGAAAGAGTGAGAGAGAGAGACAAATTTTGGCTTTAAATCATTCTCTTAAAAAGGGTTTACCTCAAAAAAGGGTTTTATTGCCAGATATGCACTTGGGTCTTGGAATGCATCCTTAAACCTTGATCCTGCAAAACAATTAAACAGTCATCAAATTGAACACAGGGAAAACAGGGCCATACAATGCCTAACCTTCCGGAAAAGAAGGCATAGTAATCCACACATACCAAGGACAACATGCCCGTCCTTCAACCATGGCAAAACGAATATCTTTTCTGCATATTAGCCTCATACAGTGAAGGAACACGTCCTGCAGTTGGATGCCAAATCAATCAAGTCACTCTACATATAAAACAAGCGTTAGGCCTACAAACATATCTTTATATCAATAATTTGTCCAGTGAGAACATAGAGGAACCCGGTGATTGAGTGAAGACATATGCTATCTGCGCCTTTATTTTTAGGGAATTTAATTTTGGGAATTAGGATAAACTGGATTCTATATTATTAAGGATTTAGAATCTCTGCCACATCAACCAAGTATTTGAACGTATGAAAGAACACGAGCTGTGATTTTAACAGTAATTGTATCCATTTTGCTAAGGATTTGGAATTTTTCCAACATCAAATTACCACCAAAGATTAAGTATTTGAAACAATGGAAGAGGATGAGCTTATTTGAGATTTAAATCCCACATGCTAACCTGTCTTCAGAAAGGAGTCCACTGCTACTGTAAATCTAGCACGGTTTAATGTGTGCAACACTACAGATTTAACCTGGCGGAGAATTCACAGAATGTATTAGCAGAATAAAATCTTCTTCTACAAACAAAGACAACTGAGGAAGTGGAAAGAAATACTGGTTATTATTAATACAAAGTCACACCTCTCGATAAGAGCTGAGGATGTATCCACATGACAGAAAGGCAAATGTAGAAACCAACGAAGGATTTTTTTTTGAGATCATAATGCTTAGTCCAGTTCCCAGCTTCAGGTATTGAAAGTTCAGTAAGTATCAGGAATAACACGAAAGACATGAATAAAAGCATCAAATAGCATTACATTGCACACAATAAAGGGAAGTTCCCAACTTCACACAACAAAACCTCAGTTACATCGGAATCAATCACAAAAATTTACAGATACCATGAAAACACAACAGCATGCACCGTACATAATACAAAACCTCCATGTTGAGACATAATCTTCCAAACCCAAAACCATAGCATGACTTTTTTCAACTTTTTTAACATAGCACAATTCTTTTAACTTTTTTAACCATAGCATAATTTTGTTATTTAGCTTCTACCTTTTTTTTTTGAGATAAGTCATTTAGCTTCTACTATAACCTAATACTTAGGCTCAGTCCTACAGATATGTACCTTAATTGCAATTAAACATTAAAAAAAGTCCTTAATAGTACTGGCTCAGTTAATATAATTATTGATGCACTGTCCTTTCCCTTTATATGCACCTTTACTAAACAGAAACATGAAAATGACCGAACTAAAAATATGGAAGAGAAATCGGACACATTCTCTCAAACAAAGAAATTATCACAAAAATTTTCATAAACACCTGAGGTATGTAAAAAACCTAGGGTATGTAAAAGAAATTAAAATGATGCAAAATTTGCAGAAAGTATTTTCATTAGAAATTAACAAACAATATTACAAGCATACCAGATCTGCAATGTTGCCCACACATTCCCCTTTAGCTGTGACATCCCCAATGTTTTCTCCTTTAGCAAAAGCTTTGTAAATTGGTGTACGAGTTGATGTTGATGTTACAGCACCAACATTCTGAAGGATATTGATATAAATAAGGCCGATGCTGGTAGAGAACCGGATCAATATCAGATGCATATATTATATGAAAGTCATCAAACCTTTGCCACATTAGCAGCACAAGCCAAAGGAAGGAAAAGGTGTGGCACAGCAGCTGTTGCTAGCTCAACCCCAGCACCCAACTCCATAAGATGGTCACCTGCAAACCTCAACTGCAAGACACCTTGCTTTAGCAACCTACAGTTCAAATAAATATTAATCATTTCCATGAAGATCGTAAATATACCTGTTTTAGTCATAGTCAAATTTCTTTCCTTGACGAGCAAAAGCATTTTCCACACGACAGCACATC